TTATAGATGGGGTTGTAAAAGAAGTAAATGTTAGGGAGTTCAGGAGAGGGGTGGGATTAAATTATGGGGAATCAAATACAAAATGGGAATTGACACAGTTGCTTTTGGCTGATGATATTGTGCTTATGGGAGATTCTAAAGAAAAATTGCAAAGGTTAGTGGATGAGTTTGGGAGTGTGTGTAAAGGTAGGAAGTTGAAAGTGAACATAGACATGAGTAGGGTGATGAGGGTATCAAATGATTTAGATAAGGAAAAATTGGATATCAAATTGGGAAGGAGTAGTATGGAAGAAGTGAATGTTTTCAGATACTTGGGAGTTGATGTGTCGGCAGATGGATTTAATTTATGAAGGATGAGGTTAATCATAGAAGTGATGAGGGAAAAAAGGTGAGTGGTGCGTTGAGGTATGTGTGGAGACGAAAAACGTTATCTGTGGAGGCAAAGAATTGAATGTATGAAAGTTTTGTAGTACCAACACTCTTATATGAGTGTGAAGCTTGGGTTGTGAGTGCAGCAGCAAGGAGGCAGTTGGAGGCAGTGGAGATGTCCTGTCTAAGGGCAATGTGTGGTGTAAATATTATACAGAAAATTCGGAGTGTGGAAGTTAGGAGAAGGTGTGGAGTTAATAAAAGTATTAGTCAGAGGGCTGAAGAGGGCTTGTTGAGGTGGTTTGGTCATTAGAGAATAATGATCAAAGTAGAATGACATGGAGAGCATTTAAATCTGTTTGGGGAAGGGGAAAGCGGGGTAGGGGTTGTCCTCGAAAAGGTTGGGAAAGGATGGGGTAAGGGAGGTTTTGTGGGCGAGAGGCTTGGACTTCCAGCAGGCATGCGTGAGCGTGTTAGATAGTGAATGGAGACGAAAGGTATTTGGGACCTGACGATCTGTTGGAGTGTGAGCAGGGTAATATTTAGTGAAGGGATTCAGGGAAACTGGTTATTTTATATAACCGGACTTGAGTCCTGGGAAATGGGAAGTACAGTGCCTGCACTCTAAAGGAGGGTTTGGGAAAATTGGCAAATTTGGAGGGATATTTTGTGTATTTTTATACGTATATACTTCTAAACTGTTGTATTCTGGGCACCTCTGCAAAAACAGTGATTATGTGTGAATGAGGTGAAAGTGTTGAATGATGAAAGTATTTTATTTTTGGGGATTTTCTTTCTTTTTGGGTCACCCTGCCTCGGTGGGAGACGGCCGACTTGTTGGAAAAAAAAAAAAGGTTTTAAATTTTCATGAAATTTTTTGCTTGTTTTTAGCACGTTTTCACTGCATAGAAAATTTCATTGCTTTTTGTATTTTAAAAGTCGATGTCCCAAAGGCTACTTTCCTTAAAAAAAACAAAGCCGGGGTACTATTGCTGTATCCCCCGGGGTTATACTCACTGATATAACCAAAACAAGGTTTTTTTTTTTTATCCCAAAAGCAACGATAAAATACGATGACTTTTTTTTAACACTGGCCCTCCACTGAGGTAGGGTGACCTGAAGATTGAAACACTTTTTACCCTCTTCCCCTTGAAAAACTGCTTCCCGAGGTGTGTCATATTACTGTTCGATGCCCCTCCAAACTGCAAGGTCCTTCCCTCCCGGTTTCCTGAAATTTCTTCACAAAATTTTTTATTGCTCACACTCCAACAGCTCAATTCCAAAAACCCTTTACCTCCACCCTAAAACTCATGCGCGCGCATACATCTCCTATGTCCCACCGCCACCCCAAAACCTCCTTTAAACCCCCTTCCCGTTCCTTTCCTAGGGGGCCCTACCATGCCTTCCCCCATTTCAGATTTATACCCCTCCAATCATCCCATTATCTCTTTCTCTGATGTCCAAACCCCCCAGCAACCCCCCTTTCCTAATCTCCAAGCTACAAATCTCTTCTAAAATTTACACAAACAATTGCCCACCCATATCAAAGTTTTGCTGAAGCTTTTTCACAAAAAAGAATATTGTATTGTTTATAGTTTATTCTTATAGTCTGGAGTCCCCCAACACAGCAGTAAGTTTTTGAAAGGGGTTTAGTTATGGTAATACATATTTTTAAAAAAAAAGGATAAATAAGTATACCGATATGGTAGGGGAAATGACATAGTTTGGGATTAGTATGGTAGATAAAAGACTGTTGAGTAACTTTAGGATTACATGTTTATAGAGGGGCCACAATATAAACAGATCACTTTTTAGTTGTAGTACACTGAGAGAAAAAAGGGAGATGGGTCAAAGGGGAATAGAAATCAGGGAAGAGGAGGGGGGTTTTTAAACTAAAAAAGGGGCAGTTTGGGTAAGATATAAACGCTATTGGAGGATAATGGGCTAATGAGAGCAAGGCAATGGGGCGAAGAGGATGGGGGAGGTTTTAAAAAGTGTGTTAAATGTTAGCAGAATTTTTTGGTTCAGGGAAAATGGGGCGGAGGGAAGAGGGGCGATTGGTGGATGATAGTAAAAAGAGTAGTAAGGGAGAAAAATTAGCAATGAGAATTTTTCAAAGTAAAGTGATGCAAGGGGGGAAGAATATGGAGAAAAAGAGAGAGGTTAAAGAGTGGTGAAGCAAAGTAAAAAGAGAGCAAATGAGAGAGTAGGTGAGATGTTATCAACAAATTTTTGTTGAAAAAAAAAAAAGTTTTGGAGTGAGATTAACAATTAAGAAACCCAGAGGGAAAAAATGGATTTGTCATTTAAAAAAAAGGAAGGGGGAAATTATTAAAAGGAGAGTTAGAGGTATTGGGAAGTGGAAGGGAATATTTTTTAGGGAAATTTTTAAATGTTGAGAAGATAGGGGAAATGGATTTTTGTTATAGGGCAAGGAGGAATAACATCTTTTAGGGGTGAGGGAAGACCATTTTTTGATGTGGGGGGGAAATTCGGAGGCAGTAGGAAAATGAAAGGGGGGAAGGCAGCCGGGATTTGATGGGATAAAAATAGAAATGTAAAAGCAGGTGGGGGAAAAGTTTTTGGGGTGGTTGGGGCAATTGTTTTAAAAAATTTAAAAAGGGTAAGGTACCTAGGATTGGCAGAACATGCATAGTTTCCCTTTGTATAAAGGCAAAAGGGGTAAAAGGAGTGCAAAAATTATAGGGGGGTAAGTCTGTTGAGTGACCTGGTAAGTGTATGGTAATTATAATTGAAAAAATTTAAAAGTAAAGACGGGGAAAAAGAAAACAATGAACAAAGGGGCTTTTGGAAAGGTAGGGGGTGTTGGACCAGGGGTTTACATGAACATAAAGTGAAAAGTTTTGATAAGGTAAAGAGGTCTTTGTGGCTTTATGGATTTGGAAAAAGGGGTATGACGGGGTAGGGGGCAAAGTGGCAGTGTTGCAAGTGTATGGTGTAGGAGGTAGGTTACTGAAAGCAGTGAAGAGTTTTTACGAGGATAGTGAGGCTCAAGTTAGAGTATGTAGGAAAGGGGGAAATTTTTTCCCAGTAAAAGTAGGCCTTAGACAAGGATGTGGATGTCACCGGGGTTGTTTAATATATTTATAAGGGGGTTGTAAGAGAAGAAAATGCGAGGGTCTTGGCAAGAGGCGTGGAGTTAAAAGATAAAGAATCACACACAAAGTGGGAGTTGTCACAGCTGCTCTTTGCTGAGACACTTTTGCTCTTGGGAGATTCTGAAGAGAAGTTGCAGAGATTGGGGGATAAATTTTGGTAGGGTGTGCAAAAGAAGAAAATTAAAGTGAATACAGGAAAGAGTAAGGTTATGAGGATAACAAAAAGATTAGGTGATGAAAGATTGAATATCAGATTGGAGGGAGAGAGTATGGAGGAGGTGAACGTATTCAGATTATTGGGAGTGACGTGTCACGGATGGTTAATGAAGATGAGGTGAATCATAGAATTGATGAGGGAAAAAGAGTGAGTGGGTGCACTTAGGAGTCTGTGGAGACAAAGAACTTTGTCCTTGGAGGGCAAAGAGGGAATGTATGAGAGTATAGTTTATACCAACGCTCTTATATGGGTGTGAAGCGTGGGTGATGAATGTTGCAGCGAGCGAGAGAGCGTGGAGGCAGTGGAGATGTCATGTCTGAGGGCAATGTGTGGTGTAAATATAATGCAGAGAATTCGTAGTTTGGAAGTTAGGAGGAGGTGCGGATTACCAAAACTGTTGTCCAGAGGGCTGAGGAAGGGTTGTTGAGGTGGTTCGGACATGTAGAGAGAATGGAGCGAAACAGAAATGACTTCAAGAGTGTATCAGTCTGTAGTGGAAGGAAGGCGGGTAGGGTCGCCTAGAAGGGTTTTTTTTGGAGGGAGGGGTAAAGGATGGTTTTGTGTGCGAGGGCTTGACTTCCAGCAGCATGCTTGAGCGTGTTTGATAGGAGTGAATGGAGACAAATGGTTTTTAATACTTGACGTGCTGTTGGTGTGTGAGCAAAGTAACATTATGAAGGGATTCAGGAAACCGGCAGGCCGGACTTGAGTCCTGGAGATGGGAAGTACAGTGCCTGCACTCTGAAGGAGGGGTGTTAATGTTGCAGTTTAAAAACTGTAGTGTAAAGCACCCTTCTGGCAAGACAGTGATGGAGTGAATGATGGTGAAAGTTTTTCTTTTTCGGGCCACCCTGCCTTGGTGGGAATCGGCCGGTGTGATAATAATAAAAATAATTTCTCTGTCTGGTAGTCGATTGATTAAGCAGACTATGTCTGTTTAAATGAAATGTTCAGTATATATGACAGAATTTTCGGTAAATTAGACATTCCTTCCGCCCCTATTTATCTGTTTAATTGGACATTTACTGGTGACATTCATCACATGAGACTTATTTCAAGATCTTTCTTCTTGTGTGTTGTCTGTGGCTTCATGCTTCCCAGGTTGCATTCAATGTCCTGACCACTTGCAGTCTATTAAAATCTTAATACTTCTCCCACTCCTTTCCAGTTTTTAACATCCGTTATTAGATTTCATGTCATCTACAAACATTAATACAGAGGATTTAGTTTGTCTAAAGATGACTATACCTGTTTGTAATACTGTATATAGTGCTAAAGGGCATCATTTATTTTAGGATCAGCACAGAAGGAGAAAGAACGTGCTGCTGAGCTGGAGAATGCTGTCGAGGAGCTTCGTAAGCTATTACAAGAAGCCAGTGATCACTATGGGGCCCTTGAGCAGGCTAAAGCCAAGGCTGATGAAGAAAATGAAGAATCTCTGAGGCAGTCAAACTTATTAGTGAAAGACTTAAAGAATGAATTAGACAAAGTTAATATGTTGTTGGAATCCAGTTCCAAGAAAGGTAATAAATAGAAGAATATTTAGTGCAATAAATATTTAGTACAGTATAATATTTAGTACAGTATAATTTATCCAAAGGATAACACTAGTAAAATTTTTATTTTGTCTAAGCTTTATTTTAGTATTTAGTCTTAACTGATATTTTATTTGAAGTGTTTGTCACTGAGGCAGAGGAAACAAATGTAGTATTGAAATTTTTTAATTGGACCTAATGTTTAAAAAGACAAAAATATCTTTAGATCATTGCAGTTACAAGGAGCTGTCACCAGCAGCAAGTGCAGCTAGTGAGTTAGTAAGCCGTGGCTTGAGTCTTACACAGTTGTATTCAGAATATCTCTCTGTTTCTGAGAAGCTTTGGCCACAGAAGAAGAAAACAAGCGGCTCAAGCGCTATGTTGACCAGATCTTGCAGGTAATTTGGATTTGCATAGTACTGTAGGCTTTATTGAATTATATAGATGAACAATAAAATTTCAACAAAAACCCCTAGGTAAGACGTTATTGGATAATTTTCTAGTTTATTGTTTACACTACAGCCTTGGTTTTCAGTCTCTCTTTTTCATTTTCTGTTTCAGCAACTTTATATTAAATTAATATGCTATTTACAGTATTTTGAAATCTTTTGTATATTATTGAATGTTTTACACTTCTTTATCTTATACAGTGGTACCTTGAGCTTCGAACAGCTCTCAACTTGATCAGTTGTGTAAGTGTATTTTTGTAAGTGCTTTTGTAAGTGTATTTTTTGGGGTCTGAAATGGACTAATCTAATTTACATTATTCCTCATGGAAACAAATTCGTTTGGTATCAGCACTCGAACAGCCTTCTGAAAAGATTAAATTTCATAACTCGAGGTACCACTGTATTTGTTTTCTTCTGCTTTCTTCCCTTTGTCAAGGGCTTTTGGTTTGATTTCCTGTGACAAATTCTGAAACCAATAATGTATTTGAAGTACTGTATATCAGTTGACCACAAATTTCTACATTTCATTTTATTATAAAATGTTTGAAAATTTTAGGCAAGTAAGATGATTTTTTTTTTTTTTTTACATTGTTGTAGGAAATTGAGGAACGGGTTCCAGTGTTAAAGAAGCAACGTGAAGACCATCATAAGTCACTAGAAACAATCACCACCCTTCATGCTCAGCTAGATGATGCACTTGCAGAATTGGAGAAACAAGTAAACTTTTTATTGCTGTTTTTGGGTATACGAACACGGGATGATTGGTGGTTTTGTTAAAAACCCGGAACAGAAACTAATAATTTTTTTTTTATTTTTATTTTTTTCAACAAGAATGAATAACAAATTTTATCATATGTGAACTGCTATACAGCTTACAATAAATTAGTTAGAGCTTAAAATGCACTGTCAAAATCATTGATATTAGGAAGAAAAATATAAATACTGGATAAAATTAACATGGCTTTGTGACTGTTTCAAGAGATTAATAAATGCTTTATGATGTCTGCTATGTTTTAGAGGTTAGAAGCAGATGAAGCACGCAGACGCACAAATTGTTTAGAACGAGAAAACAAGCGACTTGATGGCCAGATGAAGGATCTCAGCAAGCAAGTGACCATTCTGGTTTCCCAAGTTGAGGCAGCAAGAGTAGGTCTTCCTGCACCTTCCATTACAAGTGAGTAATACAAAGATATAGAATGCATAAGGTCACGTTGTGTAGGGTCACCCTACCTTGGTGGGAGACGGCCAGCACGTTAAAAACAATCAACAGTCTTTTGCTCCAGTGATTTGTTGTTTGGTAATGTTTTTACAGGTGTAGATTCAAGTGCTGTATGTTAAATAAGTTGTAAAAATGTGTACTTTTACCCTGAGGATTTTAAAAATTTAATATAATTTCAGAGGAAAGTTCCAGAAGTCCAACAGTTGCTGGTGATGTTATTTCTCAACGCTTAGTGGCCTTTAGGGATATTGCTGAATTGCAGGAGCAGAATAATAGTTTACGGGCATCCCTGAGAGAATTATCAGAACAGATGGAAGCGTCTGAACATTCTGCTGTAGATGAAAAAACAAAAGAGCTGAGGGTATGCATCCAAACTATTGTTACTTTAATTTAGTGGTGTCTTCAGTTATGGTCTCTAATACAGTGATATATGTAATTTCAAATCTTTCTTTATGTTTATCAAGATGTGGTAAATGGCCTGTGGCCTGGTGGCAAAAGCTCTCACTTCACACTGTGAGGCTCCGGGTTTGATTCCCGGTGAGGGTTGAAACATTGGGCATGTTTCCTTACACTGGTTGTCTACGTTCACCCATCAGTAAAATGGGTACTTGGGTGTTAGTCGACTGGTGTGGGTTGCATCCTGGGACAAAATTGACCTAATTTGCCTGAAACGCTCTGCATAACAAACGGCCTTCTCTGCAGTAGTATGTCATTGATGTCACCTAGGCCTGTATTATATGTACTTGTAGAAATAAAGATATTATATTATTATTATTATTATTATTATGTATTATTATATTTATTTAACCTGTAAACGGTCCAAACGTATATATACGTTTTCTCAGCATTTGATAGTTGGAGGCAGTGGAGATGTCCTGTTTAAGGGCAATGTGTGGTGTAAATATTATGCAGAAAATTCGGAGTGTGGAAATTAGGAAAAGGTGTGGAGTTAATAAAAGTATTAGTCAGAGGGCAGAAGAGGGGTTGTTGAGGTGGTTTGGTCATTTAGAGAGAATGGATCAAAGTAGAATGACATGGAAAGCATATAAATCTATAGGGGAAGGAAGGCGGGGTAGGGGTCGTCCTCGAAAGGGTTGGAGAGAGGGGGTAAAGGAGGTTTTGTGGGCAAGGGGCTTGGACTTCCAGCAAGCGTGCGTGAGCGTGTTAGTATAGGAGTGAATGGAGACGAATGATACTTGGGACCTGACGATCTGTTGGAGTGTGAGCAGGGTAATATTTAGTGAAGGATTCAGGGAAACCGGTATTTTCATATAGTCGGACTTGAGTCCTGGAAATGGAAGTACAATGCCTGCACTTTAAAGGAGGGGTTTGGGATATTGGCAGTTTGGAGGGATATGTTGTGTATCTTTATATGTGTATGCTTCTAAACTGTTGTATTCTGAGCACCTCTGCAAAAACAGTGATAATGTGCGAGTGTGGTGAAAGTGTTGAATGATGAAAGTATTTTCTTTTTGGGGATTTTCTTTCTTTTTTTTTTGGGTCACCCTGCCTCGGTGGGAGACGGCCGACTTGTTGAAAAAAAAAAAAAAAAAAATTGAAAATATGTAAAAAAAAAACGTAGATCTACTTTTGGAGCACTATGCATGTGAACGTAGATCTGCTTGGACCGTTTACGGGTTAATGACTTGAAAATGCATTTTTTGTTTTCTCAAATTATGAACTACAGTGGTACCTGAGGATATGAACAGCTCAAAACTCAAACATTCATGTAAGTGCTTTTGTAAGTGTATTTTTGGGGTTTGAAACTGATTAATCTGATTTGCATTATTCCTTGTGGGAACAAATTTGTTCGGTATCGGCACTTGAACAGCCTTCTGGAATGAAAAAAAATTCATATCCCGAGGTACCACTATATTCTCCTATATTCTCGTTTTTTTTTTTTACATGTTAATTTTATTCTCCCGGTTTTACAATTCTCCTTTTTTCTCTTCCTGAATTCTATGTATTTTTCTAAAGCTCTGAAATTGGGTGTAGCCTCTCTCTCTCTCTCTGTCTCTGTCTGTCTCTGTCTCTCTGTCTCTCTGTCTCTCTCTGTCTCTCTCTCTCTCTCTGTCTCTCTCTCTTCTTTTTTTTTTTTTTTTTTTTTTTTTTTACACAGGGTTTGACAAGGTTAAGGACCCCTAGCTTTATTGACAAGCTATTTACAGGTTAAGGATTCCTAACTTTATTGGCAAGCTAAGAGCTGTTACCTACATCAGCTCATTTGAAAGTATTTTTATTGTTATGAGACATACAAGTAGGGAACAGGATGAAATTGGAGCCATCTGTGGGCCAGCATTTTCATTTGATCAACTGACTTTATCTCGTTGACATCATTATGCTGTACGAATGTGTTCCATACTCAAGTCATCCTGGGTATATATGATCTCAGATGGAGTGATGTTCTGGAGAAGGGTACAGCCAGAGTGAAGTTGCTGCTTTCTGCCTGTCTTGTAGCATAAAAGCTTGTTTCACGCTGTCCTCGAAGTGGATCCAGGCGTAGAGCCTGCAATTCCCAGTGCTTGAAGTTTTGCTAAGAGGCCCTGGTGCCACACCCGGTCGAAAGCGCCAGCAATGTCCAGTGCTGGCGCTTCTCTCTCTCTCTCCCCCTCTCCCCCTCTTCCCCTCTCCCCCTCTCCCCCCCTCTCCCCCTATCTCTCCCCCTATCTCTCCCCCTATCTCTCCCCCTATCTCCCCCTATCTCTCCCCCTATCTCTCCCCCTCTCCCCCCTCTCTCTCCCCCTCTCTCCCCCTCTCTCTCCCCCCCCTCTCTCCCCCCTCTCTCCCCCTCTCCCCCCCTTCTCTCCCCCTCTCCCCCCCTCCTCCTCCCCTCCTCTCCCCCCTCTCCCCCCTCCCCCCTCTCCCCCCCCCTCTCCCCTCCCCCCCTCTCTCTCCCCTCTCTCTTTTTCCCCCCCCTCTCTCCTTCCCCCCTCCCCCCCCCCTCTCCCCCCTCCCCCCCTCTCCCCCCCCCCTCCCCCCTCTCTCCCCCCTCTCTCCCCCCTCTCCTCCCCCTCTCTCCCCCCCTCCCCTCCCCCTCTCCCCCCCCTCTCCCCCCCTCTCCCCCCCCTCTCTCCCCCCCTCTCCCCCCCTTTCCTCTCCCCCCCCTTCTCCCCCTCTCTCTCCCCCTCCTCTCCCCCCTCTCCCCCCCCCCTTTCTCCCCCTCCCCCCCTTTTCTCTCCCCCTCTCCTCCCCTTTTCCCCCCCTCCCCCCTCTCTCTCCCCTCTCTCTCCCCCTCTCTCCCCCCTTTTCCCTTCCCCCCCTCCCTCCCCCTCTCTCCCCTCTCCCCCCTCCCTCCCTCCTCTCCCTCTCTCTCCCCCCCTCCCCCCCTCCTCCCCCTCTCCCTCCCCCCCCCTTTCTCTCTCCCCCTCTTCTCCCCCCCCCCTCTCCCCCTTTTCCCCTCTCTCCCCCCCTCCCCCCCCCCCTCTCTCTCCCTCTCCCCCCCTCTCTCCCTTTTCTCCCCCCCCCTCTTCTCCCTTCTCTCTCTCCTCCTCCTCTCCCCTCTCTCCCCTCCCCCTCTCCTCCCCTCTCTTCCCCCCCTCTCTCTCTCTTCCTTTCTCCTTTTCTCTCTCCCTTTTCCCTCATTCCCCTCTCTCCCCTCCCCCCTCCCCTCTCTCTCCATCCCCCTTCCCTCTCTCCCTCCCCTTTTCCCCCTCTCTCCCTCTCTCTCCCTCTCTCTCCCCTCTCCTCTCTCCCCCTCTCCCTCTCTTTCCCCTCTCCCCTCCCTCTCTTCTCCTCCTTCTCTCTCCCCTCCTCCCTCTCTCTCCCCCCTCTCTCTCTCTCCTCCTCCCTCTTTTTTTTTTTTTTTTTTTTTTTTTTTTTACACATTTTTGAAAAGGTTAAGGACCCTAGCTTTATTGACAACCCCTATTTACGGGTAAGGATCCAAACTTTATTGAAAACTAAGAGCTGTTCCCTACACACTCATTGAAAGCATTTTTTTTGTTATGAACATAAAGTAGGGAACAGTGAAGTTGGACCATCTGGGGCCAGCATTTTTTATTTTTACAACTGACGTTACTCTTACATCATTTGCTGACGAATTTTTCCTACTCGGTCATCCTGGGGAGTAAGATCTCAATGGATGAGTTTTGGGAAGGTACAGCCCGAGTGAAGTTGCTGCTTTTTGCCCTCTTGTGGCATAAAAAACTTGTTTCGCGCTGTCCCCGAAGGATCCAATGTCGAATTTTTACAATATTTGGGCCTTTTAACATAACAGTAAGGGGCCCCCCACACCCCCCTTGTTGAAGGCTCTGCGAAAAACAGATCCCTCAGGGTGGTCCAGGGGGAAAATAGACGTCTTGCCTGTTTCTCTCTCTGTCAAGCAGTCGCAATGAAGGGGGGAGGCAAACCAAGAAAATGGGGCTACTCAAGGTGTAGCGTACTTGTGCCTCGTACAGTATCTTGCAACCCCTACTGTCAAGCAAAAGCGAGATACGGCGAAGTGCTGTAAGCTTCCTTTTGCTCCCTCCCTCTCTCTCTCTCCTTTTCTCTCTCTCTCTCTCTCTCTCTTCCCCCCTCTCTCTCTCTCTCCCTCTCCCCTCTCCCCCTCCCCTCTCTCTCCCCCTCTCTCTCTTCTCTCTCCTCTCTCCCCTCCTTCTCTCTCTCTCTCTCTCCCTCTCCCTCCCCTCTCCTCTCTCTCTCCTCTCTCTCTCTCTCCTCTTTTCCTCTCCTCTCTCTCTCTCTCTCCCCCCTCCCCCCCCTCTCCCTCCTTTTCCCTCTCTCTCCCTCTCTCTCCCTCTCTCTCCCTCTCTCCTCTCCTCCTCCCTCTCTCTCCCTCTCTCCCCCCCCCTCTCTCCCCTCTCTCCCCTCCCCTCCCCCCCTCTCTCTCCCCCCCCCCCCCCCCCTCTCTTCCCCCCTCTCTCCCCCCTCTCTCTCCCCCCTCCTCTCCCCCCTTCCCCTTTCTCTCCCCCCTCTCTCCCCTCTCCTCTCCCTCTTCTCTCCCTCTCTCTCCCCCCCTCTCTTCTCCCCTCTTCTCTTCCCTCTCTCTCTCCCTCTCTTTCCCTCCCTCTCTCCTCCCCCCTCTTCTCTCTCTTCCCTCTCTCCTACTCCCCTCTCTCTCTCCCCTCTCTCTCTCTCCCCTCTCTCTCTCCCTCTCTCTCTCCTCTCTCTCTCCCCTCTCTCCCTCTTCTCCCCTTTCTTTCCCTCTCCCCCTTCTCTCTCTCTCTCTCTCTCTCTCTCTCCCCCTCTCCTTCTCTTTTTCCCCCTTCTTCCCCCCCTCTCTCTCTCTCCCTCTCTCTCCCCTCCCCCCCTCTCTCCCCTCCCCCCCCCCCCCTCTCTTCTCTCTCTCTCTCTCTCCCCTCCCTCTCCCCCCTCTTTTCCTCCCCCTCTCTCCCTCTTTTCCTTCCCTCTCTCCTCTCCCCTCTCCCCTCCCCTTCTTCCTCTCTCCTCCCTCCTCTCTCCCTCTCTTCTCCCTCTCCCCTTCTCTCCCTCTCCCTCATTTTTTTTTTTTTTTTTTTACCGGGGTTTTACAAGTTAAGGATCCCTAGCTTTATTGACGCGTTTACAGGTTAAGGGGGATTTAATTTATTGGAAGTAAGGGTTTAACAGCTCATTTGAAAGTTTTTGTTATGAAATAAAAGTAGGGAACAGTGAAGTTGGACCATCTGTGGCAACTTTTTCATTTGATCAACTGATTTTTTCTCGTTGACATCAATTTTTCTGTACGAATGTGTTTCCCTCTCAGTCATCCCGGGGATTTTTTCTCAGTTGGGGGATGTTGGAGAAGGGTACACGAGAGTGAAGTTGCTCTTTCTGCCCCTCTTGTAGCAAAAAGCTTGTTTCACGCTGTCGTCGAAGTGGATCCAAGTGTGGTTTTTTGCAATTTGGCCTTTACATAACATAAGGCCACCCACTCCCCCCATTTAAGGCTCTGCTGAAATAAGATCTATCCAGGAGGGGCCAGGGGAGAGATGAGACCTTTTCTGTTCTCTACCCCTGTCAAACAGTCGCAATGAGAAGGGGGGCAGGCAAACCAAGAAAGTGGAGCTACTCAAGGTTGAGCGTACTTGGCCCCGTACAGGATCTTGTAACCCCCCCTGTCAAGCAGAGGGAGATACGGCGAAATGCTTAAGCTTCCTGGCTGCCTTGTTTGCAAAATTTTCAACGTGGTTCTTCATGGTTATTTTGGAGTCAAATTTTACCCCAAGGATTCAATTCTTCTCCAGGGGCCAACATCCTCCCCCTTCTTTCCCTTTCTACTGCCCAGCATTACCATCATGGTGCCTAAACGATATCATTTTCGTTTTCTCAAGTGCAAAAAATTTTCTTTTTCCATTAAATTTCCCCAAACTGATATAGCTCTCAGCTGGTGATTGATGAGCTTAGAAACTGGATTTTCTTCTCTTGGATAAGTGAATGCAGTGTACAGTCTCTGCATTCATGTGATTCTGGATGAGATGAAAGGGGGTCGTTGAAATAGACATTCCCTAACAATGGCCCACACGCTTCCTTTTGGAACACTTTCCCAAAGGGTGTCTTGCGATTCCCTTCCCTTAGAATAACTTAGAGATCTACCCTGAAGGGAAATTTCTGAGGGACAAGCGTAGAGCCTGCAATTCCATGTTAAAGTTTTTTCTAAGAGGCCCCGGGGCCACACCCGGTCGAAAACGCCAGCAATGTCCCGTGCTACCACACAGCTGACTTTGGATTCATCCAGTGACTGGTGCCACTTAGTGGAGAGGTTTAACAACAGATCAGCAGTAGAGTAACCTTTCCTGAAGCCATATTGACGATCACAAAGTAGCTAGTGGTAGTCAAAAAACTCTGTCATTTGTCTTGAGATTATTGTCTCAAGGATCTTACCAGTGATTGACAGGAGTGACACTGGTCTGTAGTTGCTGATTTCTGCTCTGCTCTTCTTTTTGTGAACAGGGACTACATTTGCCTCTTTCCATAGAGTGGGCCATTTACACTTTACTAGGCAGTGCTGAAAGATGCGAGTTAGAGGTGCTGCTAGCTGGTCTGCACATCTTCTCAACAATCTTGGGCTCAACTTGTCTGGGCCCACAGCCTTTTCTTGGTCAAGCGATTTAAGTAGGAAATGCACCTCCTCCTGCCTTATTGTCACCACTGACAGTTTTGACAGTTCTTGCAGCTAGCCAAGGAGGGTCCCTTGCTGGATCAGGAACTTGCATTTTGGTAGCAAAGTGTTCAGCAAAGAGGTCCGCCTTCTCTTGACTACTAGTAGAGGTGGTCCCATCCTGTCGATTTAGAGGTGGAATAAGTTCATCAGGCAGATAACCTTGTATGTCCTTGACCAGGGACCACCAGGTTTTGGAGCCTACCCTACCTGATGCTAACTTTCTTTTAGTGTCCACCTCCCATTTAGCATGGCCCACTTTTGAACATCACCCATATGCCTACAGGCTTGCATGTGCAAGTTCCTGTTATAGGTGGTAGGATGTCTCTTATACCTTCGCCATGCTTTGTACTTAGCAGTAGCAGCCTCTCTACACGAAAGCCAAACCAAGGCTGATCTGTAGGCTTCGTCACATATTGCCGGTGAGGAATGTGTTCTTGTTGTAGATTAAGGATGTGTCCAGTGAAGGCTTTCACTTGGTTGTCAACATCCCCTTGGAGAAGAGCATTCCAGTCGGTGGTGGCGAGCTCAGAGCTCTCTCTCGCTCTCTTTTCTCTCTCTCTTCTCTCTCTCTCTCTCCCCTTCTCTCTCTCTCTCTCTCTCCTTTCCTCCCCTCTCTCTCTCTCTCTCTCTCCTCTCTCTCTCTCTCTCTCCCCTCCTCTCGCTCTCTCTGCTTTTCTCGCTCTCTCTCGCTCGCTCTCTCTCTCTCTCGCTCTCTCGCTCTCGCTCTCTCTTTTCTTTTTTTTTTTTTTTTTTTTTTTTTTTTTTTACACAGGTTTGACAGGTTAAGGATCCCTAGCTTTATTTGACAGCTATTTACAGGTTAAGGATTCCTAACTTTATGGCAAGCTAAGAGCTGTTACCTACATCAGCCCCATTTGAAAGCATTTTTATTGTTATGAGACATACAAGTAGGGAACAGGATGAAGTGGAGCCTTGTGGGCCAGCATTTTCATTTGATCAACTGACGTTATCTCGTTGACATCATTATGCTGTACGAATGTGTTTCCATACTCGAGTCATACTCTCTCTCTCTCCCCTATCTCTCTCTCTCTCTCTCCTTACTGCTGTCATTCTGTCACAGAACTCCAGTAGGTTTGTGACACAGGATTTCCTGCCCATGAAACCGTGCTGGCTGTCGTTGATACGCTCATTCCTTTCTAGGTCCTCCCCCCACTCTTCGTAATCGTCACCATGACCTTACATACTATACTGTGTGTGTGGGGTTGTATTAGGGGTGTAGTGGCAACAGCAGATATTTTACAATATATTAGCACCAGAGTTTTCAGTTGTACATCACTGTTTATTCCCAGGATGAACTTGATGCAGCCAAGGCACAGTTAAAGGAAATTTCAGCTTTAAGAGAACGACAAGAAAAAATGATGGAAAACCTTGTGCATCAGCGTGACATGTATCGAACTCTTCTGTCACAGCAGTCGCCAAACGTTGCAGGTGTAAGTGTGTTAATTTTTTGACGGCATTTCTGGATTCAAACAGTTCTTGTATAGTGGTAGCATACACTTACAAATGAGAGGCTGTTATGAAAAGTTTTGTTTTTAGTTTCTGTTTCAATTAATTAATCGTTTCCTTTAATGCATACGGGTATTAATGTCCACTAGGTGTATATTAACAAACTCATTTTAGTAAAAAAATTTATTTCAATAATCATAAGTTGATACTTCAATATGTTTAGTAGGCTTTACATAAGCCATAAGTTTTTTCTTTATACTTTTAGTAATTTATACAGAATGGATTAGAAGTCCCTTGTTCCCGGCATTTTAGTCACCCCTTGCAAATATTGTTAGTACGTATCATTAAAAAGTGAATCGTGTTTGAAAAACTAGGACTGTCCATTGACATTGTATTGAACATTCGTTTCTTCTCTTACTTCAACAAACCAGCCATATCCCATCGAAGCAGGGTGGCCCAAAAAGAAAAAAAAGTTTATCTTTTTAACTAGTAATATATACAGGAGAAGGGGTTACTAGCCCCTTGCTCCTGGCATTTTAGTCGCCTCTTAACCCTTTGAGGGTTTCGGCCGTACTAGTATGGCTTACGACCCAGAGTTTTTGACGTACTAGAACACCTAAATTCTAGCGCCCTCAAATCTAGTGGGAGAAAGCTGGTAGGCCTACATATGAAAGAATGGGTCTATGTGGTCAGTGTGCACAGTATAAAAAAAAAATCCTGCAGCACACAGTGCATAATGAGAAAAAAAAAACTTGGACTGTTTTTTGGGAATAAAACAGCGACTTCGCACTGTATTTTCATATGGTATTTATTGTTGTATTCTAGTTTTCTTCGTCTCATTTTATAGAATGGAAGACATATTACAGAAATTGAGATGATTTTGACTGGTTTTACAATGAAAAGTACCTTGAAATTGAGCTCAAATTATCAGAAATGTTAAATTTTTACCAAAGTTCAAAAGTAAACAAATCATGCCAAGCGTCCAAAACACGTCAACTGGTGAGTCTAATATTCTTTCACAAGTGCGCCAATATTATTTATACCATTTTTTACACTAATGCAGTAGCCTGCATAACAGTAAATCTTCAATTTTTTGTGAGAATAAAAATTCAAAGTGGAAAGCAAAAGAATGTAAGAGGGGCCTTGAGACGTGACTAATGAACAGAGGAAATGTCATTTTAGTGCCAGGAATGTTTTTCTTGTTTATTCTGGACCCTATTTGGAAATTGGCATCTTTTGAAATTTGTGTGAAATTGGCAAAATTGCTAAATTCTCACCACTGTACTGGATAGTTGAAATTGGTAAATGGGTGGTTTCTTGCACTCATTCGATAGAAAAATGGAGTTCTATCAAAGTATTCATGTTTTTTTGTCGACTAGTACAGTGGAATTGGCCGAAAATGGGGCTCAAAGTGGGCAAAATCGCCGATGCATAAACATCGCCGAGACTGCTAACTTCGCGAGAGCATAATTCCGTAAGTTTTCCATCAAATTTCATACTTTTGGTGTCATTATGATCGGGAAAAGATTCTCTATCTTTTCATCAGATTTTTTTTTTTTTTTTTTTAAATTTGGCCGACCCTGAGAACGAGTCTCGGAGAGGGCCTATCGACCCTCAAAGGGTTAAGACACGCATTGCTTACAGAGGAAGAATTCTTTTCCATTTACCCATGGAGATCAGAGGAAATAGACAAGAACAAGAACTAATAAGACAATAGAAGAAAACTCAGAGGGGTGTATGTCTATATATATGCTTGTACATGTATGAGTAGTGTGAAGTAAGTGTAAGTAGCAAGACGTACCTGAAATCTTGCATGTTTATGAGACAGAAAAAAGACACCAGCCATCCTACCGTCATGTAAAACAATTACAGGTTTTTGTTTCACACTCATTTGGCAGGATGGTAGTACCTCACTCTGTGGTTACTGTCTACCAACCTACTACCTAGGACTCAAAAGGCTTGTTACCTTATAATTCATACACTTTCCTGTCTCTTACCATATGCAGAGAAACTATGCATGTGCTTTACTAATCCAGGGGGAACTTTTTCCCAGTGAAAGTCGAGCTTTAACTGGGATGCCTTATGTCACTATGCTGGTTGAACATATTTACAGATAGGATTGTAAAAGAAATGAATACTAGGGATTAAAAGATGTTGGATCTTGTTCAGTGTTATAGTTGCTCTTTGTTGATGACAATTCGTTGGAGAGATTCTGAAGACAAGTTGCAAAGGTTGGCGAACAAATTTTGGGAGGGTACGTAAAAGTAGGTTGTAGGTTGGTAGACAGCAACCACCCAGGGAAGTACTACCGTCCTGCCAGATGACTGTGAAACAGAAATCTGTAACTGTTTTGCATGATGGTAGGATTGCTCGTTTCATTTTCTGTCTCATAAACACGCTAGATAACAGGGATTTCTTGCTACTCCTACTTACACTTTGGTCACACTTCACAGACACGCACATGCATACATATATACATACATCTCGGTTTTTCTCCTTTTTCTAAATAGCTCTTGTTCTTCTTCATTTCTTCTATTGTCCATGGGGAAGTGGAAAAGAATCTTTCCTCCGTAAGCCATGCGTGTCGTATGAGGCGACTAAAATGCCGGGAGCAATGGGCTAGTAACCCCTTCTCCTGTAGACATTTACTAAAAAAGAGAAGAAGAAAAACTTTATAAAACTGGGATGCTTAAATGTGCGTGGATGTAGTGCGGATACAAGAAACAGACGATTGCTGATGTTATGTATGAAAAGAAGTTGGATGTCCTGGCCCTAAGCGAAACAAAGCTGAAGGGGGTAGGAGAGTTTCAGTGGGGGGAAATAAATGGGATTAAATCTGGAGTATCTGAGAGAGTTAGAGCAAAGGAAGGGGTAGCAGTAATGTTAACCCTTTCAGGGTCCAAGGCCCAAATCTGGAGTCACGCACCAGTGTCCAAGAATTTTCAAAAAAAAAATTGTTATTTTTTCTTATGAAATCGTAGAGAATCTTTTTGTGAAGGTAATAAAACAAAAAGTACGAAATTTGGTGGAAAATTGACGAAATTATGCTCTCGCGAATTTTGATGTGTCATCGATATTTACGAATCGGCGATTTTGCCGACTTTGACTCCCATTTTAGGCCAATTACATTATTCCAATCAACCAAATTCTTAGCTATTTCACTAGTATTACTTCTATTCTATCGATTGAGCACAAGAAATCGCCAAGTCAACTGTTTCAACTACAAAATAAAGTGATCGGAAATTGTTAATTTGGCCAATTTAACACAAAGTTCAAAATATTCCAATTTCAAAATAGGGTCCAGAATGAACAATGTAGGCATTCCTGCACTAAACTAACATTTCCTCTGTTTCATTAGTTATGTTTTGAGGCTTTTACAAATAAATTCCATTTTGAATTTTTATTCACATAATGAATTTTTATTCACACCAAAAAATAAGATTTACTGTTATGCAATACTGTAATAATTGTATAAAATATCATCACTATATTTGTGAATGTATATAGACCCACCAGCTGACGTGTATTAGACTGTGAGGTCGTTTGTTTACTCTTGAATATCGGCAAAAATTTAACATTTCTGCTACTTTGAGCTCAGTTTCAAGCCATTTCCAGTGCTAAAACCAAACAAAATCATCTCTATTTCTTTAATATGTCTTCCATTCTATCAAATGAGACCAAGAAATCGCAAATACAACTATAAAAAACATACGAAAAAACACTGCAAAGTTGCTGTTTTAATCGAAAAATCATGATTTAATTTTTTTTCTCTCATTATACACAGTGTGCTGCAGGATCTGTTTTATGTGGTGCACACATACCACATAGATGTATTCTCTCATATCTAAGCCCAAATGTACCACTCACAGTTTATCAGAGTGAGCTGAGCTCATGGCGTAGATCTACGGTTTGGACCCTGAACGTAAAGCCGTAGATCTATGGGACGGACCCTGAAAGGGTTAAATGATCAGTTATAGAAGGAGAAAAGAGAATATGAATGTGTAAATTCAAGAATTATGTGGATTAAAGTAAAGGTTGGATGCGAGAAGTGGGTCATAATAAGTGTGTATGCACCTGGAGAAGAGAGGAATGCAGAGGAGAGAGAGAGATTTTGGGAGATGTTAAGTGAATGTATAGGAGCCTTTGAACCAAGTGAGAGAGTAATTGTGGTAGGGGACCTGAATGCTAAAGTAGGAGAAACTTTAGAGAGGGTGTGGTAGGTAAGTTTGGGGTGCCAGTGTAAATGATAATGGGAGCCCTTGATTGAGCTTGTATAGAAAAGGGTTTAGTTATAGGTAATACATACTTTAAGAAAAAGAGGATAAATAAGTATACAAGATATGATGTAGGGCGAAATGACAGTAGTTTTGTTGATTATGTATTGGTAGATAAAAGACTGTTGAGTAGACTCAGGATGTACATGTTTATATAGGGCCACAGATATATCAGATCACTTTCCTAGTTGTAGCTACACTGAGAGTAAAAGGTAGATGGATACAAGGAGAATAGAAGCATCAGGAAGAGAGAGGTGAAGGTTTATAAACTAAAAGAGGAGCAGTTAGGGTAAAGATATAAACAGCTATGGAGGATAGATGGGCTAATGAGAGCATAGGCAATGGGGTCGAAGAGTATAGGTAGGTTTAAAAATGTAGTGTTAGAGTGTTCAGCAGAAGTTGTGGTTACAGGAAAGTCGGTGCAGGAGGGAAGAGGAGCGATTGGTGGAATGATGATGTAAAGAGAGTAGTAAGGGAGAAAAAGTTAGCATATGAAAGTTTTTACAAAGTAGAAGTGATGCAAGGAGGAAGAGTATATGGAGAAAAAGAGAGAGGTTAAGAGAGTGGTGAAGCAATGTAAAAAGAGAGCAAATGAGAGAGTGGGTGAGATGTTATCACAAATTTTGTTTGAAAATAAGAAAGTTTTGGAGTGAGATTAACAAGGTTAAGAAAGCCTAGAGAACAAATGGATTTGTCAGTTAAAAATAGGA